AAAAAAAAAAAAAAAGGTGAGAGAGAGAAACGGATACTTGTGTAATTTAATTTTATAAACAGTGTGATTGTAATACAACCAGCCAAACGCAACGAAGTTAAAAAGATATGGGAAATTAAATTGAGCAAAATTAAATATTCTTTTGCTTCGATAATGGTTGATCGTGTTTCCCACACTTTCTTAATTTTTTATTCTTTTTACAAAGAAAGGAATGTAGGTATCACAGGTGATTAAGAATGTTGTTGGAATGCTTGATTACGATGATACATCATGGCGTAACGTTTAGAGGAGATTTTTCATGATAAAACATGATTTATTATTCGCATCGCCACAATGTTTAAGCAATTACATACATTCCATCTGTAGCACAGACGTTTTATTTCGCGTCGTTCGCAGAGTTCACCACTGATATTCTCTTATAACTTCGGAATAACATCTTGACGCGATAATGGAAAACGAATAATAGAATATCGCGAAATCTACGGAGCATAAAATTGCCCTCGTCATGCTCGTTTCAGTTAGAACGAAGAGCGTTACAGCTGCAGCCATCTTGCCGGACCGACGTTTAACGGCATCGTTAAAAATTAACGAGCGTTTGTTAAAAGACTCGACCTACCGGAATAGAAACTGAACACCGTGAACATACCGCGGCCTGCGTTACGTATCGGTGGTACGTAACTACGCGCGGTTTTTCGTCCCTTCAATTACCAAAATTTATCAAGATTTCGAGAATTTCAAACATTTAAATGTATCGCATCTTTTCACACTCAATTCAATTACACGTAACTTCATCCTCTCACATGATACATTCCGTGACTTATGAAAACGTAACCAACTCTTAGATAATAAACGATAAAAAAAAAAAAAAAATACTTAACGAATTACAAGACACCATTTTATGAAAACTGTAATAATGGACAAACTTACATCACCGTGAATCTTAGCTCTCTAATTTTCATTACTTTTTGAAAGAATATTTCCAAACGCCAAAGGATTATCTGTTTAAGCTGTGAAGCAAATTTTAATATCAGAAATAAGTAAAAATATATAGACATGATAAATGTTACACACGAGTTGGAAAACTATATGAGCTTATATAGATAGTATTCTCTTTTGTAATGATGATTTGAATTGATCTTAAATCGATGATTTTCAATGATCGGAATCCTCGTTGTACTGAACGCCATCTTCTACGAATCTTCACCGATGAACCGGAAGTTATAAATCTTAACTCTTTCTTCCACCACTCGTCTTTCTCATCGATGGAAACCTTTGAGACAGATTTCCTTAAAGACGCTGGCTGTACAGTAACTAAAACACTGCCAATACTTTTCCTGCCTCCTGTGTGTTTACATCACAGAGTATCGTTACGAGCTTTCGGACGTGAACCATCTGTTTGGACTGTCCAGCGGGAAGATGATACCAAAAAACGTATCTTTCTTTTCTGCATCATTCTTGCACGATTCTTCGACGAAATTAGAATAAAAAGAAATTAATTTTAAACTTTTTTGGCAATCTCATTAAGTTTCAATATTGTTAAAAAGAATTGTTTTCTTCGCGTGTGTAAATATTTCAATCGTAACGATATAAAATGTTTCATAATAATATACATACATATTTAATAAATTATTATTAACTGGATGATGAGAAAGGAGTTTCGTTTCTGGTAATTTGTATTAACGTGTTTAAATTTATATAATCTATTATCGATAATATAATTTACAACCTTCGATAGTAAACTACAGTCGATAATGTAGGAAGCAAACAAGTAGCAATACTTGAATGTTGGTAAAGTAGCTTTCGTTTTTCTGGTTCCATTATATTTCTACGGGAAATCTACTTTATCGACTATGCAATGTAAATTTTAATCCTTAGATGTCACTACATACATCTATTGACAAGAAACTAATCTAATCAATAACTAACATTTCAATCATAAAGATAAAAATAATATATAAATATTATAATAATGATTATACTACGTTGATTTCGTAAAATTCAAAAAATGGAAGGAACTATTTGTAAGATTTACCGAGAAAACGTGTAATTTCTAACAAAAATTCTCTAGTTATTCTTACTCAAAGTTATTCGCTTACTCAAAAATTGAACGATTACGTTCATGAAGTTACGTGATACACGAAGTTGCATTCTTAAATACTTTATCCCAGACTAAATAAAAACATCGTTCGAACCCTCTGTTCCAACCTGTTCACTGACTGATTTCGTATATTTTCTGAATCAATATTGAACCTTCCGCGTGACCTTGGCACAACAGGTAGGTTAGTTAGATCGAAACAGGTCTTGCTCGTCATTGTTTCTTCGTTTTCTTTTTACATTTTTACAAACTGAACGAATTATAGTCATTTGTTCCCAATATCAAATTTAAAACGCCCGTCAATGTCTTCCGTCTTAATGATCGATGAGTTTTCAGTACCTGGACAACCGCGATGCGATTTACATATCAATAGAAATACGGTGAATCGACAAAAATATTTTTTCAGTTGCTGAGTTGCAAGTTCGCTTGCTAAAAGAATCCTTTGCTCGATTCTCCTTTCTTTTTTCACGAATTAAATAAATGCGATTAAAAGCTCTCCCATCGTGCCAGGATGTTGCAATATTTTGATAACGATATTACAATGTCTTGCGCAATCTTTGCTTGAGATTAAAAGATACGAATTGAAAATTTTAACCTTCTACAATTTTAAGGTCCAATGTTGTATTGCGTTGAATTAAAAATTTTTTAATCGCAATTCTTACTTACTGCAACACTGTTCACATATTATTTTTACACATCATTTCACGAGTCTTGGTTATTAATATAATAACCGAAAATTTGGAAAACGTACTTTGCTTTTTAGCCAATACGGCTCTTTCAGCCGTCTTTTATCTATAATTCTTGACACAGAGCGATCTTTTTATCAGTGCATTGCGATCTTCCAGAGGAACTCGTAAAGTTGTGGAAAGCATTGCCATTGAAAACGAAAGTGGTTCACTTAAGGGCAGCTTCGAGGAAAACGTTTCAAGAGTTTTAGAGCCGAGATGCAAGGAACAAGGTGATTGCCGTAGGCAAGATTGCCAGGAGGGTGGTGAAAAAATAATCGAAACGTCTTGGAAGCCGTCACAATTAACATAGCTGGTAATAAAATAGAAAACGTATGAATACACATGTCACACAGAGTCTAAATATTCAGCTTCGTTCTGTAACACTTACGAATATTTCGAGTGTTCTCGCTCTTGAGCTGAACGTTGCCACTCGAAGGGCCAACTTGCGCCAGTTTCTGCTTCGGAACGGCATCATTTTTCTTTTATCGAATACTTTCCAATAACGACACGTCCATGCAATTCGTGAAGAGTACGACAAATTTATCTGTCCGTTTTCGTCACGTTGTCTTCTCTGTAAATATAGAATTCATAATTCTAATGATACATTCAACATTCACGTCGAAACTACAACTATGCGTAGATACGTTTTAATCTCCTCGTTGTCGAACAAAAGAGGATACCAATTTGGACGTTCGAATTCGTTTTTGGTGAAATGTGTCGCCGCAAAGAACGTTTGTTTCGGCTCAGAAGGGGGTGTGCACCCTGTAGGTGGCTGCCGCGAAAGAACCTCGACCCTAGGCCATCTGGAACGACTTAAAACACTGAGAAGGATGAGAAAGAAGAGGATGAACCGTCCGAGGTCCTTCTCGATGTCCTTTTCTTTGGCCCTCGCGCCCTTTTCTTATCCATCTTTGAAGATACGCGTACGTGCACAAAACGGGACGAGTCGGATCTCGGAAAGAACGGTCAGCGTTTCTCTTGTGGTTAGATTAGACTTGTAAGTTGCTATAGATTGTAGATTAACGCGTGGAATTATGGATTTCACGTGGCGAAGCAACGCCATCAGTCGCTCGACGAGAAAAGGGGGAACTATTTGGTGACGATTTGAAAGGCGCCTTAATTCCAGATCAATCCTTGGATTAGGACTTGTGTTGGTTGAATAATCGGCCACCATAATAATCGATCCGACGGATCATCATTCTTTATTCGCAACGACCTGCCCGATTTGAAATCGCCGGATCCTCATTTCTGATGTTGGCATCATTTCTGTTAAAGTAAGTACAAATGCAAATTATAAAATTATTGAGAATTATATGTATATGCGTTACTAACGATTATGACATGAGTTATATGACGTTATGCATGAGTATCTAAATAAAAGAATACGAATCTACTTTATGTGAATAGAAAGCAAAGAGACAAAGCTGGAGATTAAAATAACTGCAAAAATGCAAATGAAAGTTTCCTACTTACCGACGAACTTTATGGATTCACAATGGCATATTTGGACACGTAAATAATATAGCCAGAACCTAGAAGCCCAAGATACATTAAAATGTTTTGAGAATCATTCAATAGCGAAAATGAAAACGAATAAAAGAGTAGTAATAAACTACGTTGATATGTGTAGTGTCATTTGAGGAAGAGGAAGTCTGGAAGATCCGTAAAGAAGACGGAAAGAGAGAGAGAGGCCGGAAAGAACGTGGAGAAGGAAGAGACGAACATCAAAGCAAAGCGACAACGGATACGCGTAAACCTTGAGCTGCGAATGCCGAAAAACCGACAGAGGTTCGAAGTAACTGACGCGTTCTCGGGAAAACTCATCAAAGAGCCGTGGATGGATAAATGTAACCGGCCGTTTAACGTGAAACCTCTCGCTAATTTTAATTGCTGCCTGATTTACGTCTCGATACGTTCTTTTCCGCTCTTCTACTTTTTCCTTCTCTTTTCTTTTCTTTTCATTCTGCTTCGTGGTACGAAGCTCCCCTACTCCCTAGTGCTTTTGGCACATGTGTGGATAGACGTCGCAGCGAGGGCCCCATTCCGTGGCCGCGAACGTGACGTCTCCTGTGGAAAAAATGATAAATACTTGGAGAAGCGGATACGGATTACCGTAATTTGTCGGTACCGTAGGGTAACGATTTGTCACGGAATTTAATTACAGATGACGCAACATCGACTTACGTAAGTGTTTGTTTGCTATATGTTGTACAATTTCGTGCAACTGTTCAATATACTCATGCATTATAAAGAAACAATTATTATTTTGTGTTACAGGTATTTATAGACATTAATTGGTTTTAAAGTATAAGAGATGGAGACGTTCATTTTTTGTAAATTTTTCAGGGGAGTTAAATTTAAAAGCTCTGATAAGTGTCAATAAATTTTTGAAAAAGATAATATAGATTAAGATTACAAATATAGTATACATACGTATATATGCATTAGAATAATAATTTTAAGATTTTCATATAGAGCATGTTGGCTGTTTGTACCTATGCAAATGTATGTTTCTTTTGATGAGTAGAATGCACAAGTTTAAATATAATTAATAAGGAAGAAGTATCGAATAAGTACAGAATAAGAAGCATAGAATAATTAGTAAGGAAGAAATTGTTTCATACATATTCATATGATTTTGACGTGGAAATTTTTCAATAGTCGTGAACTATTATACAGTAACAATAAGTAAACTTTATAGAATTCAATTTGACAAGATTTGCATTTAACGCAACAAACCTAATTGTAAGAAAGAAACGAAATGAGAAAGTAGAGGAAAAACGAATTTGTGTTATGTATTGTTAAAAGAAGCAAGTGTCTTGTATTCAGATAGAACCAGGTTTCATTTTCTTTGCACGACTATTCTATCTTACATATCGTACATATTCAGGGAAACACGGAAGCGACGTAAGTGCGGACGCAATATTCAGTTTGGTTTGATGCCACAGTCCGTCACCCCTGCGGCTGTTATCACACAAAACAAAGAAACCCATCCCCTCGCGTCGATATTTCCTCGTTCCTGTCATCGTTGTTCTCCCTTCTCGTAGGGCGGTACTCTACCCCACCTAGACATCCTTTTCTTCGTCGACCTGCGCCTTTCTTCGATCGCGGCACGCAGAAGTTCGGGGCTGCGGATGCGGACATCAGGGGAGACAGTAGCGTCATTACCATTGGCTCACCCTGCAGACGTATAATTACGACAATGGTGGAACTCGGAGGGGATGATATGAGAGTAAAAGTTTCACTTTCGACGGGGATGGGCATTGTGCTAGTAAAGATATATAAAAATTAGTAAGTATGTCAACCCGAAATGATTGTTACCAAACACTACTAAAATATAGATAGTTTTTACATACTTGGTTTCAGTATTCAATATATCTTTCTTTTTTACGCATTGTGTGTTCCACATTTTTTTAAATAAAAAATCGCATCGAAATGCGAGAGGATTCTTTTGTTAAAAAGATAATGTATCCTTGTATTTTCATACTGAAATAACTGCTTCGATATATTGTATCCTCTTTTTATTTTAATAAGCGTAATAATGATGCACCGAATGAGCAAGAATATTTCCAAAGAAGAAAAGAAAGGAAGAACTGTACTGGCCAACATCGACGGAGAATGCTCTCTTTGGCAGACAGCGTGGCACCGAAGGTTCTCTATCCTCGTTTTTTTCTCGGGCGTGGCAATAAGGAAGTGGGCCCACTGCTTAAGAAAACAGAGAGCCGCCAATATCGGGCAGGGCCTGCCGACTGCCTGAGAAAACAGTAAACCGTTTTCGGAATCCTGTCGAGGATATGGGGCGACTTAGCTTTCCATCATGAATGAAAACCTAAATGCTCGCGAGTTGTCACGGAAAGTGCCGAAACGTACGTGCTATGCTTCGTATTACACTAGATCTTTTAAATTAAATGCCTCAAATATAGATCGTTTCGCTACTGGAATTTTGTCGGACAGAAAAATAATCTGGAAATTTCACGGTATATTAGAGTTTCATATGAAATGATGAAAACAAATTTCTATACATTTCTAGATATCTAACTTATCGACTATTTAATCGTTTTGTTTTAATTATTCTGTTCTTTGTGGTTGTCATCAAGTCTGACGAACGAAGGAATTTGTATGAAAACGAAGAAGTAAAAAAAGATGTAATGTAAGAAATATTAGTGAGCTCTGGATAAGTATGTAGTGGATCTGTGTCCTTGCCACAAAAAGATGCATATAAATGATGGTCTTTCCGGACTGTTTGCCGCAAGACAGCGTGGCACCAATAGCCAGAGAATCCAACCCGATGTCCAGGGTAGGCGGCGACCGCTTAATTAACGGCCTGACGAAAGGCAACGACAATTAATACGATACCAGCTTCCTTCCAGAGGCGGGATCGCTTAGTCCGGCTTGCACGTGTGAAGTTTGTCACGATTTGTCACGTGATACTGCTGATGCGATCTTCGCATCGTTGCATTGTCGTAGAACATGTAGAAAAATATGATAATTAGATAAACAAACAATATCAGTAGTGAACGAATCGTCACTGACTACAAAACTATCAGTCAGATTTTAAAGCAAAGTACTTTCACAGTTTAGAGAACATTATCAGGGATCATATTAATGGTAAACAAATACTTTTTAGAAACAAATTACAACCTTTCATCTCAATG